AGGTGATGGTAGTTTGAAGTGAGAAGTCAACTGCCAGTCAATAGACTTTTTCCGTATGAGCATACTTTGCCCAGGGAGCACCACGTGGAGGTAAGTCTATCGCACACCCCATATTTCCAATATAAATATGCAAAGTGTTGATAAGGCTCTATTTGGGCTACAGCACAGTCATCTCCGAATCCCCAGATGAGTAATATGCGTTACACTACCTGTCGTATTGACAACAATAAAAGCTTTAAGGAAACTGGATATATTTAGCACCCGTGGTTTAAGCTAAGAAGAGAACAGTTGTTGCCTCATTAAAACAAATTTCAATAGATTCTAGCAAGCATGCGATTTATATTCTTTTATACACTTACTTCGTTACTAAATAACTGCAAATACGTTGACCAAGAAGTGTTGCCTTATCTTAAACCATCTAAAGATGATTCGAGTTTAAACGAGGATAGTAATCTGACAAGGGTCTGTAGGATTTGTTAACAGATGACCCATGGAGATACAACTTCTTAATCATCATGGAATAATTAGGAGGGATTAAGAGGCAGGAGAGGGGATAGAAGAAATTGCAAAAATTTTTGCAATTAATTTTAAATTTCACGTTAGTTAATATCAAATGATCCTGAGTTGGAATAATTCATAAACCAATTTTCACAAGCCATTCACATGCGTCATTTGGGTACCAGCGTAATGATATTGGGAGAATATATTTGCATATTCACCTCGTAATTATCAATACAATGGCAATATTCAAGGAAATAAAAAAGACTATTATTGTACTTTCACCCATTGTCGGTATTGATCGCATCAAATTCTTGACTTACATTTTAGAAATTTACTATTTTGCTCATCTTAGTCATGTGCTAACGTAAGGGCTTTAATCACTAACAACTTCTAAACCGAAATCACGTGTGATTTTACTTACTAAAGCCCCCTAAGTGTATAGGATTCAATGAGCGTATCTTATCGCCATTTATGTGAAAACATGCCTATTTTTTCACATATTCATGTACAAAAGCCTGCTTTTTAAATCACTAGGTAATGATTTTTTCCAAGTGTGAACGTTTTTAAAGACTGCACTTTTGTTGACTTTCAGTGGATAAATTAATTTTCCCGTTCATTTTCATGCAATTTTAAGTACAACAGACAACTCTCGGATATATTACAACTATTTTCCATTTTTTAAAAAAACAGATATTACTTGCATATCCGTTTTTGAAAATGAAGCATACATATACATGCATATATCAGCCGATTTTGTGTATTTAATCCATTTTATCTCCTCCTAGATTAGGATTCAAAATTGTAATTAATTATTTTAGTATGCCTTCATTCTGTGGGAAAATAAAAATATTTTAATTTATGGCTCTAACCTTGTTTACCTCAAGCCGCCTTTCATGTCCCGTAAAGATTTCATAAAAGAGAGATACACGACGAATTTGCTGAAGGCAGAAGTATTTTGGGGCACTTGATAAAATATTTCCTGAGAAAAATGACCTATCAAACCGAATTGACCTTGAATATTTGAGGGGTTGTTTGATTCAACTAGAAACGCTTTGAAGGAAATATCTTAAAAGAGAATATTCTAAAAATATATTATTTTAATATCAAAGTCAAGATGTCCTCCATTTTTCCATAGTAACATGAGAAAATAAACAAAACTAAGGACTTTGGACCTTTTAGATTCTCTGATGTTACTAGAATACATGACAGAAGACAACATTATATGATAATAGTAATCCTTGCCAATATAATCTATTAAGATTTTATTTTATACGTGTAGATAATCGTAAAAAATATCCTCTCAAAACTACTTTGACTCGCAATTTTCATTACCTACCTGCAACATGTCAAGGCGATAATTAAGTTGTTGATGATGTTTTAAGCCCCATAATTTCTAATATTCGTTGAAAAAAAGCAATTATTTTAATTCCTAAATTTGCAACGATTGGTCTCGTTACCAAGACCTCGATACTAGTGGACATGTGCAATCACATATTTACCATGTGAATACCGATATACCAATCTTTGGCAGAACTCTGCCTGAAAAGCTTCAAAATATTTTATATTTCATAGTTTTTTAAAATATCAACCTTTCTCTGGATTTTTCAAGTTAATGCACATTTCATTACTAATTATCCTTAAATTCTAAAAGATTTCAACATGACAACTAACATCTGATATACTCATTTTTAATCAAACAAACAAGTTTCAAAAATTATGAAACATATCAAATTACTCCGATCTCAACTTTTTCTAGCTTACTCCAAAGTATTACAGAACATTTAGATCAGCCAATTCAATCTGGATGTTTGTGGAGGGCGTTCATGTTCCTCGTGAAATTCGCGATGGTCATCACCTGCTTCACAATCAACAAACACGGATTTCTCCCCTCCCTGGTGGAGGTGGAGGCAGTGAATGGGATGATTCAATGTGGTCCCTAAGTTGCACGGAATCCGAAGATCAATCCTCGGAAACCAACATCTCTATATCTGGGACTCCTCGATCACTTCCCAATGAAGCGTAAGTCGTGTTGAAGTATTCTTAGAAATTGGAAGACGGTTCGTTTGTGAGATTTTGAACCATTTGCCAGCAGTTATTTGAATCGTCTACAAAGTATCAAGACGTTAAAAAAATCATCCTTCACATAGGGGTTTTCAAAATAAAATTCAAATGAAATATAATCATCATAGACTGTTTTGCTTTAATTAATGATATTGTTCATTTTTTTATTTATTGCATGCCTATTACGGTGCGAACTTTAGTGCATGAATTATTCATGCATATGCGATATGGGATATCAAGAATATTTGATGTATTAAAAATGATTTCTCGCTCGAATTTAATTTATCCACATCTCGTAATTCATCTAACTCGTCTATCTCAATCAAAATTTGACATCCAACAATTAAGTTGAATGGAGGTGTATCTCACATGGTCTTCCTTCAAAATTGATTTTTTGAATAGTGGAAAAAGTTGATCACATCCTTTACTAACCATTATAAAACTGATTTTTTTATCAAAATATTAGAGTGTTAACAGGAAAATAAAATCAAAAATCCGTTAGAAACCACTGTTTGATGAAGGTTAGAGAGAACTGTCTTGCTGGACTCAAGTTCAATAACGAAGACGACATTATTATTTAACGTAAGTATTAAAACAAAAAGAAAAATGATCAACTCTCCTCCGAGATTGACGAGTTCAATAATTATTTTTTACCCCCATTTTTACTTATTATTTATAAAATAAACATACAATTAAATAGCGTATTAAACCTATCTAGCACATATCAGTGCCTTATGGTATTAGCTAGAATATTCGCTTTCTATTTTAATATGCTTACAAAACCTTTTCTGGGATTTTGATTGCAAAAGCTTCGGCACGCTGTTTATACTGGCAGTGTGAGTAGAAGTGGTTTTATGCATCTAGAATATATTTGAAATGCTTTATTTAGAATTGAGCCTAAGACCCAAAGGTTTGTCAATTGGAAAAAACCAACGAAAATGCGATGAATGACACTTTGCATTTACTGCAAAGAGAGTAGATGAAGCAAATCTAATCAATACAATCAATAAAAGTTAACCACATGAGGCCATTTTTAAGGATGTCGTAAATATACACACACGTTTTTTACTATTTTGCTGCTTTAATTCAAAAAAATTCCCACGTCCTAGAGTACATTCTCAAGCTTAACGGCATAAATTAGAGCACATGCACGCACTATTTAAACTATTGCCACCAAATGATTACATATAAAAGCATTCTCGATGCACTTGAGATTGTCTTCAAAAATTGGTGTCGCTCTGAAAGGACTCTCAATGTGAGAACAGTACATGCAGTGTGTAGGTGTTGAGAAAACGGTGATATGGCCACTTCTGTTTTCAATTTACTTTTGCACTCATGCAGAAGTTAAAATGTCATTTCAACTGAGTTGAGAGGTGAATTGAGAGATGAGTCGAACTTGAATGAATAGATTTCTCTTCGTGGAAGTAGCAGACCATCAATATTTGCGGTTACATTTCCGATTTCTTTACTCTCACTTGCCAAAATGGACATATTTGTGTTTATCCCTTGCACCACTACTCACTCTCATCTTTTTTCTGGAGAAATTGCTAAGCTAATATGAGTTTTCGGCAAGTTCTCTTCAATAGTTAGGTTCTAAGCACTTCAAAGAGCACAAATTCTAGTTAGTGGAAATGTTTTACTATACGGAATTGTGTCTATGGTTTAATACAAATACAAAGATCATGATTTTAACCGGCTTAAGGAATAAGACCAGGTAAGGGACTGAAGGAATAGAGGAAATGAAATCTGTAAAAAGCACAGGACTAAATGAAAATGAAATTCTGATAAAAGCATAAAATTACAGTACTATGAGTCACCAATCCTACGGAGTTTAGAGAATAAAATTTTTGGTTAAGCTATCACTTTCACCATCTATTACGAAAGCATTTGCAGCCACGCAGACCACCATGTTAGAACATTGACTAATGAGAAGTTTTCTTTCCTTAATTACCTTATCTTTATGCTATTCTCAAGCTAGTACTCATTTAGTCTATGTAGATATAAAGCAAGGTGCTAAACTCTTATAGGATAAATTTTTGTTTATTAGTGTTTGTTAATGGGTAATAATCACGCTTTAAGTTCTAATCACTTCCTACTTAAGCGAGAAAAAAATTCTCTTTAAAATCAGTAAATGAAGATTCACTAGTTGTAACTGTTTATTTGCATCAAATCAGGGTATATTCTTATGTATGACCTTGTTTATTCCACTACTATGTAATTAAATCACCTGCAATAGGCCAAGGAATGATGTCAGAAATCGCAGGTTACATTAATTTCCACTACTAAAATTAATCAATCGACAAATAAAAAAAGACTTCCCGTTCTTCTTCAATTTGCTTTTCAATGCGATAAAGTAAATCTTGCATTATTTTAAACAATTGAAACTAATTGGTTTCATCCCAACCAATTATTACTAAATTCAATAATCAATCTTACAAATCTAAAATTTGTTTGTCTACTGAAGTAAGTAAGTAGCACTGTTTTAAGTATTTATTAAACTACGCACAGATCTCCTTCTATGGAATCAAGGGTAGTGCTAAGGCGGCAACCGGGTCTTTCTCGTCGACACATACAAAGGGCGAAAACTCTAGGATGTTACCCACTCCCAACTTCTCCACTTAGTCCTTCATCATCACCAAATTCAACGACGAAACGCCTCACAACCTACGGTGTTCCAGGAGCTATGGGCTTAGATTGCTATGAGCTTCGACGTCGCAATCGTAACGCTGAGCTTTCTAAGAAACGGAGTTTCCATATTCCGCGAAGAGACAGCGTGGAAGACTCCACAGTTAAAATCGAATCTAATTCAAGTTCTCAGCGCAGGCACAGACATGAGTCAGTTAGACGTATTCAGAGCCTCAATCGATACAGTAACAGCCATGCTGACAGAGAGGCCTGTCAAATGAGTTGGGAGAATCTGAAAACCAAACCACCCCGGCCCCCCACTACTTCACATAGCTCAAACACTACTAGTCCTCCAAGAATGATATCTTCTGAGTCAGATGGAAGGACCCAGAGTCCACCACATGACCCGTCACAAGCAGCAATCCCCACGCATATGGTAAAACATTCTATTAAATTTTTGCAATAAAGCGATGAGGCTTTAAGATTTTTGAAGGATGAAGTTTTTCTATTTTCCTTTGTATTGTCAAGATCTCAAATTAAATTAAGTGATAAAGATATATTATATATGGGGGCTTTAGTAAGAGTGAGAAGAGAACGGAGAATAGTTTTGTTATTAAATTGGTTATGGGACTGGTGGTTAATTCATTTAAGAGAAGTTGGGTAATTATGATAAATCAATAATCAGCCTAATCAAGGAGAAAAATAAACAAATTGCATTATGCACTAAGTCCACAGCTAGAAGAGGTCGATAAATTACTTTGAAACAAAATTAATGGAAAATAGGCTCGTTAGATAGGTTGGAAAAAAATTGATTTACAATTTAAGATACCATTAGCAGTATTATGATTAAATGCATAGTTCAAGCATAACTTTTTTCGTTGCAAGAACGTTGCAGCAGTTCAAATAACTTCCCCAAGAAGAAGAAGAATGAAATCGCCTCCAATTAAACAAAATTCTACTCCAGATACTTTGCCATCAAGCAGTCACCTACCTCCTAAAATTTCCCCACAATTACCAGCCTCCCATCTTTTTGATGGACCAGTTCCAATGCGTATTCAAAAAACCCGAGCCCCTCTCATTCATCAAGGTAGGTCGTTTCTAAGCGGAGGTAATGGCAATAATAGTTAATAACAATAGGGGCCTGGTAGCAATTTTAGCGGAAGTTGGACCGGATATTCCATTTTACTGGTTGATTGCCGGCTGAATAAAAATTGCAAGAGAGATTTTAGTCATGGTGTATGATAGACAATATACCATTTCTCCGATTTATGAGATAAATCTACTGTATAAAGATGGTCAACGCCGTTATTTCTGATCTGTGCCGGTCTGTTCACGAGATCCATTAGCACTTTGGTTATTGAACATGTAAGATAGTAGTATTATTGAGCACTTCATTATCATGTGTTAGCCATCATATTAAATTAAAGGCAAATAGGCTTTATTGGGTTAACAAGTTAATGAGGTAGTTACGTAGATATAGGAAACATATTAAAAAGACAACGGGTCAATGGAAATAAAGCTGGGGTGTGTTTACTGATCAAAACACTAATGCCAATCATTTACGTTTGAAGACAAAGTATCAAGTCCACAGGAAGTCCCGATCCTACAAGTACCTGTGATGCCAGTTGCAATGACTGTCCAAACTTCCCCTCCTCCGGTTAGATTCATGGACGAACTCCCTGGTAGAAGTGCTCAATGTCGACAAAAACTAACGCAAACTCGAATCCCAGCTCCCCGACTCGACCAAGGGTCAACAATCACTCTTTATGAGCTCATGCAATTCAGCAACATCTGCACTTCCTACATCCCTCCTCTCTCTCTTAACGATCCACTACGCCGAAATTCCTGGGAGATTGGTGAGCTGATTCCTGGTCTAGGAATCCGAGTCTCAGTTGTCAGCGTCACTTATTCATCCAACAGCAGACCTCCACAGATGGTGAATGAAATCAGTGGACTTCGAGGGATCTGTCACACTCCAGGAAGTGCCTTCACTCCTGTCACTAGTGGATCAATTCAGAACGCCCCTGCTGAACCTCTCCTTGTAGTTATTGACGAAACTTCTGTTGCAGGAAGTATATACTTTCAACCAGGACAAATTATTCTTGAAGTGAATGGCGTTAACTTCTTTTCTGTTCCGGCTTTAAGTAAACAGGGTGTGTTGACAAGGCTAATTGCAACAGCTTTTAATGCCTATAACAACGGAGACGGTAGCCTATTTATAAGCCTTGCAACACCCTATCCTCATCTTGTCAGCAGGATTTCAAGTGAAACTATGGAAGTTCGATTAAATGAACAATTTTTCTAAGAATGGGTTTAAAACTATTATTATTACTGTCATTACTTTTACTCTTTTATCCAAGGTATTTTATATTCCAAAATGCATGAAATTTCCATTTCTATATAGAAGAAGAAGAAGGAGATTATTACTCTTTTGTATATTATTTAATCACATTTTAATTGATAGAATTCAAACGAATTTTAAATGAGTCTTATGAATCTGCGTGTTCTTTTTACAAGTATGATTTATAATATAACGTTGAACTTTTCTTAAAATTATGTAAATGATCTATAAGCAAATTGTAAAACTAACAGAGCTTAGTGCAGATAAGTTAGTGGCGGTGAAAGTATTGATTTTGAAGCTGTGGAATAGGGAGGAGAAGGTGGGGGATGATAAAGTGAGGCCCATGTCATTGCTGCATGTGACAACATATGGGTTGTAGCCGGAGCCTAGTTCTTCGTCTGTCATTGGTGGATTTATTTGTTGCTAGGGCCTACCTGATTGTTATTAATATCGGAGTGCTCCTATTGGTTGACAGGTCAACAAACATAGGCTAGTTTCGATTTTATTTTCCATCCTGGGGGTCTGGATCTTGCAAAGTGAATGATCAGGGTAGCGTTCAAGTTTAATTAAATAACTTTGAAGTTATGGTCATTTCACTGAAGTCTTGTTTCATTTTGAAAGGTAGGATTTTAGAATTTTCTTTTATGGAGAAGATTAAGATTACAAAATTTTTGTTAAAAAAGGGTCAAAGATGTCATCAATGAGAAAGGACTGCGAAATCATATGTATTTAACATTTAAGGTTCTTGGTATAATTGATCAACTTAAGAGCGCTGCCATAATTTAATATACATCAATTCGAAACCAAACGTTTTGTTCAAGTTGAATTAGTACCCCCAATTTAACTGGCAAAATTTCCGTTTAATTTTTTCAACCTTACTATAGACGTAATAAACCCATTCTAGCCAATTTCAATACCATCCGATCCGTTTATTTGAAAGGAGATTAGGTTAAACAGAGGTTAATGATTGGTGACTGTTTGTACGGTAGCTGCACACAGAGTTGTACGGCCGCACCTCCCAATCCTTTCGTTCAGACATGCAGGCATTCGATGATGCACGAAGCGATAACGTGTTCCACAAACCCATTCTAGCCAGTTTCAGTACCACCCGATCCATTTATTTGAAAGGAGGCAACATATTTGAAAGTAAATGGCAATAATTATACACAAGCATGTCAATCCGGTTAGGCAGACTCCGAAAATGTACCCTTGGAGCATTAATTCTAAGTCAAGATGTTACAATTATTAAATAACTGACCACATCGGCTTGTATAAACTCAAATCAAACTTAATTACAGCCACTTTAAAATACTGATTGACGCACCTAACAAGCTCTACAGTATTGAAGACTTGGGCGCGCAGACAAAAAGTCGAAATTATTTATTTCCTAATTAGATAAAGAACTTCAATTATTACATAATCCCAACTGCCGAAATTGCATCATGGTTGGTCATTATAGCGTCCATTCATTAAATAGGCAAGGAAGTAAGCGAAAGCATTCTTTCATTTACATTCTACTAGGTAAATTTATTATGTGATAAACCACAAAAGTGGACATAGAGGAGGTGCTACAAGCAGTCAAACTTCCGTTAAAATTGGAATGATCAAATGTGAAAAAATGCCAAACAATTGGGCAATACCTAAAAAATGTTGCATGTTGTAGTAGTAGAAGGTGTTCTATCATGAATGATTAAAAATAATTAAAGAATTATGACCTCTTATATAGCAGACCTGCATTGTGACAAATGCGTAAAATATTAATAGAAATTTACCAAACAATCCAACCTATAAAATCTTAAGAAATTGCTATGTTCTGCTATTAAAAATGGTGTGGGAATAAGATAATATTGAGACGTGAGCCAATTTTAAGCATATTCTAAAAGTAAAATGCGCCGTTTTGAAATAAGTACATGATTATTAAGTTTTTTTGCAACCGAAATTAAAAGTACACTAATACTATTTATTATGATGTTTAAGGAAATATCCAATAGCAATAGCCTTAAAGTTATTAGCTTTTGTTATCACAAAATTCTTCTTGCTATTTTTAAGAAACATGAATGGGTTGAAATTAATTCCAAATGAGTCGTACATTCTGATAGATGGGGAAAATATGTAACATTTAATATTATGCTGATATACAACTTAATTTGGTTTAAAATTTTGAATCCATTACTATGTGGTTTTCATGATATTTCAAAGAGTAACCTATGTTAGTATCTTTACCAATAATGGAATCAGACATACCATACATAAAAGGATGACGACTGTCAAAACTAACTTGATATTTCATTTCAATTACTTTGTTTTGAAGCGACTTCGCATTTTTAAATAATTCGGATGACACATATTGCAAAATTAAGAATATATTATCCATGAGCCCCTAATTATATTATGATGTTTTAAGTGGCATTAACACATATACAGCTACGTTACCGTCTAGCTAAGGTTGTTCCTTCAATACAGAAACAAAAGAAATTGAGTCGAGTTAGATTGGAGCTATATGAAGCGATATCAGACAAAGATGGTCACACCTCTTAAATAAGAAAATGAAAGGCAAAAATAAATGGCATTTTGTGTGTTATCTATAGCGTCTTCCTTTTGAGCCAGACTGTGTCTGGCACACATTTTGCAAGTCACGTATAGTCAATATTAGACGCTTCATTTAAAAATTTTGTAATGAATATAAGGGCATTAAACATCAACAAAGACGCTATCTTATTCACGCATTGATTCAAGCAGATATTGGCCCAAACTTATGACGCTAATTTATTTATTTCAAATGGCAGGCTTTATGACAGTTATCATTAGCTCTTTAGTTGACTTCGGGCTCCATAGGGGGAGGAACATCAAAGCGAGAAAAATTCGAGAGGGTTAGTTTGAAGTTAGGAGTCAACTGCCGGTTTATAGACTTTTTCGTCATATGAAGATAAGTTGCCCAGGGTTCACCACGTGGAGGTAAGTCCATCGCACACCCCACTTATGACGATCATCATGCAGAGCCGTGGACTAACAGTTATGGCTAATACTTTACGAAAAATATAACCGAGAAGTAAGGTTTCTTACGTTTATTCCTTCTTTATAAAATGTACTTTATTAAAAATTATATATAGGAGAAGTGTAATAAGGTGTGAGGAACAATTATAAATAAAATTATGGAATATATATGTCTGGTTGTCTGTTTTAAGTTAAAGAGTAAATCTAGTTATCAAGAATATAATTTTCCCTTCCTCTGATTTGGAAGCCAATGTAGTAGTAAGGAATTGGAATCTACGCATATGCATAAATTCCATATCAGTGTAAATTTTGCTTCAAAAATATATATTACGGCAAATAAAGAAAACTAATGCAGTCTATAGTTCATTTTGAAACTCTCAAACAAATATTCATGGTTGTTTTGGGTACAATAATTTCCAAGTAATTAAGAGCATACTATAAGACAATATTTATTTTATTTTATTTATTTCAAATGGCAGGCGTTTTGATAGATATCATTAGCCATTTAGCTGGCTTCGGGCTTCACAGAGGGAAGGTTCATCAAAGTAGCAGAAGGTCGAGGGGTGGGGAACAGAAGAGCGATTCACAAATGTAAAAGAGGCAGACAGACACAAAGGCAGAGAAAAAGGTAAGATGAGTATTGTGGAAGCGGTCGAATATGACAAGCAGTCGTGCCATGGTATTTTGAAGTCAGAAGTCAACTGCCGGTTAATTGACTTTTTGCCGTATGAGTATACGTTGCCCAGGGTGCACCACCCCAGGAGCAGATGTACTGATATGAAATTTGGGCGGTTTTTTAGAATACTGTTTAACTATCAAAATCTAATGGAAAAATCAGTTTATGATTAAGGTCACCATGCTTCACTAACTTGTTTTCAAGTATTACCATCGTTTGATTTGGATAGACGAAGGCATCGTACAACCTCTCTTAGAGAGTTATTCTTATTCATGCTGAACTGAAATAACTAAACCAATGTGCACTTGCAAACATCAATCTTGCAACTAATTGGTTCACTTCACTCGTGGGTTAGTCGAATTTGCACAAATTTCAACTTCTATTCCATTTCGTTCTTTTTATTGTGAACACTTGTTCCAGTATCAACATTTTCAATTGATTTAGAGAACACCAATAGTGGCATTGGAGCTAGAACGTCTGAAGAAAAAACGCGAAAAGAACGAAAAGCGGAAACAAAAGAGCCTTCAAGAGTCGCAACCTCTTTCGACACAACCTCTTCCAATTGCGATTTCCGAAGATCATTTGAATTCTGTCACTCTTCCACCTAGTGATGTTGATCTAGTCACGGATCCAACTGAAATTACTGAAATATTATCCCCAGAACCCCAAGTGAATCCGAAAACGCCGGAGGTTGTGGAAGAAAAGAAGGACGATGGTAGGAAGAATAATGGAAAAAACGCAATTTATTATGCTTTGATTAAAATTTCGGTTCAAAAAATCCATCTTTTTAGTTTAGCATGCATTTTGTACTTTAGGAACCGTTTTAACGATTTTACACTTTTAAATCCAATATATGTAAGCGTTTTGGTATTAATAAATAATATATTTATATTAAATATTTGTCTTAACTAGAGGAAGCACTAGAGGCAGAACTGAAACTACTCGACACCCTTCCGGAGGAAATCAGAGCCCGCTTTCCATTCTACCCTCCATTGAAGTGGGAGGATAGAGAGGAATTGAAGAAGTTGGCTGAAGATTCAGAAGCTGAATTGCGCAATTTCATTAGAGGAATGAAGGACGATTACTATGTTGAAGATCACATCATTGTGGAGTAAATACATTCTTCCTATATTGCACTTTTAACAAAAAATTATGTAATTATTTTAAGTATTCTCTCATAAGGTATCTTCGGCAAAAGTTGCTCTCAAAGCCATGTCAAAATCAGGGCTTTGTTCTGGATGGTTGGCCTAATACATTTGAACAGGTGGAAGCATTATTTAAAGGTTAGATTTAC